CCAACAAACGCTTGCTCTCGTAGTATACTGGCCATTAGACATTTTCCTCTTCTCAAACTAATGCTGCCCTGACCGCGAATTGAGAGACAAACAGGTACAGGAGGAGGATCTCTTGCGGGAGAGGCTTGAACAGGAGAGGTGGCTTCCCAAGGTGCTCTTTAATACTTATGGAATGCCTGTTTGCACTCGGGAGTCCGCTCGAACTTTTTATTAGCCTTCAGAACATTGAAGAATGGCAAACAACGATCTGTTAGCCTTGATATGAAGCAATTCAGCACCACTATTCGCTCATTAAGGCTCATGACCTGCTTTTTGTTGGTCGGGCTTTCCATATCAAGGAGAGCTTGAATTTTCTCGGGCTTGATTTCTATTCCCCGCTGGTTAACCATGTATCCTAGGAACGTTCTTGAGGATACTTCGAACGAGCACTTGAGGGGATTCAGCTTCATTCTACACAGTCAGAGGATATCAAACATCTCAGCGAGATATGTTATGTGATCCGAAACGACATGGGATTTGACCAGCATGTCATCCACATAGACCTCCATTGACTTACCGATCTGATCAGAGAACATCCGGTTAACTAATCGCTAGTAGGTCGCGCCAGCGTTCTTGAGGCCAAAGGGCATGACTCTATAGTAGTACGATCCCCTATCTGTAATAAAAGATGTATGCTCTTCGTCCAGCGCATACATCAGAATTCGATTGTATCCCGGGTACACGTCTATAACACTTAGTAACTCGTGCCCCGAGGTGTCATCTACGAGCTGGTCGATTCTAGGCCGGGGAAAGCTATCTTTCGGGCATGTTTTGTTGAGGTCGGAGAAATCAACACAGGTTCGCCATTTGCCATTGGGCTTCTTTACCAGAACAGGGTTGGCAACCCAGGTTGGGTAGAGTGCTTCTCAGATGGACTCGTTTCGAAAGAGGTTATCCACCTCTAACTTTAAGGTGGCGTATCGCTCCGGATCCATCGCTCTTCTTTTTTGGCGAACTGGCTTGGCTTTGCGGTCGATGTTCAACGCACGACAGATGATATTCAGGCTGATCTCGACCATATCTGCGTGCGACCAGGCGAACACATCGATATTTTCCTTGAGGAAGCTGATCAGTTCAGAGGCAAGCTGGGGGTTGAGATTGCTTCCAATCCTTAACACTCGGCTCGGCTCGGCTCATCTTGGTCGACCGATACTTCGGACAAATCCTCAACTGGCCCACTGGAAAGGCTTTCCTGAATTCGAGGATCCATGTTATCCTCGACTGGACCAGGCTGTGGCTCAATCCGGCTGATCGTCATAGCCTGTCCGGGAACGCCACGCGAGATACCCTTCCTTCTGTATGCCATCTGTACTGCTTTTATGTAACAGCCGCGAGATGCGCTAACTTCCCCTATCCCCGTCGGGGTGGGGAACTTCATCTTCCGATGGTATATCGAAGTGACTGCCTTAAAGTTTCTTAGTAGAGGTCGCCCCAGGATTCCATTAAAAGCAGATGGGCAATTCACTACCAAGAATTCAGTAACCTTGATCACTTCGTCATAGTCGCCCAGCGTGACTGGAAGTTGGATTGTCCCTTTGGGGATCAAGTGGTCCCCTGTGAAACCATAAAGAGGGATCGAGGCGGGCTTAAGGTCGGCCTCGTCCAAGTTCATTCTCTCAAAAGCAGTCTGGAACATGATGTTCACAACACTTCCGTTATCCACCAACATTCTGCGGACATTATGGCGCCCAATGAGGGGCGTGATCACAAGAGCGTCGTCGTGGGGATGATGCAAATGGGTTGCATCCTTTTTGGAGAAGGAAATTTCCTCCGCCTTGCGAACCTTTTGTGGTCGCTGCGTCGTGATCATCACACTGATGGGGTCGTGATGGGCTGGACAAGCATATCTTTCCTGGGCACCTCGCGTGTTCCCCGTGAGGTGCGACCCTCCAAAGATCATGTTGACACTGTAATATCCTTTGCGATCACGACGCCTTTTTCCTTGTTCCCCTTGACTTTTCTCCGGTGCGAGAGCAGAGTTGTCAATATACTCTTTGAAATGCCCCTTCTTGATGAGTTCTTCGATTGCCTGTTTGAGAGCTCGGCACTCATCGGTATGGTGCCCATTATCCCGATGAAAGCGACAGTACTTTTTACTATTTCTGGCTGATAGGGGATTTTTCATAGGCTCAAGCTCTCCGAGCAGGCCGGCCTCCTCCGATTTATCAAGGATGGCCGATACAGATGCATTCAAAGGCATATATTGATCTCTGTCGCGATCGCGACGAGGGACAGGAGTATAAGACTTTTTGAGCTCATAGCGAGGTTTCTTTCCTTTTTGCTGATCATCAGTAGCCTATCTGCAATCAGTTCTCCTACTTTCCCCCCGACCAGATGAACTGCCTGATGCGTCGGGATTGCGACGTTGGAGCGTCGCCACTGAATTTTCAATCCGGAGGTACTTCTCCGCAAGGTTATAGAATTGGGTGAGGGAAACATCGTCCTCATCCTGTAGCTCTTTCCACAAGTCGGTTTGTGGACGAACTCTCGCTATGATGAGAGTCTGAACAGACTCTTCGGGAGTATGAGCTACCTTGTTGAGTTCTCTATGAAATCGATCAATGCAAGACTGGAGGGATTCGTCCCTTTCTTGCCTTATATTGTTGAGGTAGCTCAAAGGCATTGAGAACTTTCGGTTCACTTGGAAATGCCTTAGGAATGTTGCGCTCAGCTGAGACCACGAATTAATCGATCCCGCTAGGAGCGACCTAAACCACCGTTTGGCATGGAAGGTTAACGTCACTGCCAAACAACGACATTTTGCTAAATCTAAGACCTTGTAAAGCTCCATCAGGTCATTGAATTCATATAAATGATCCTACGGATAAGAATTTCCATCAAATGCCCGCATGTCGGGCATCTTGAATCCCAGTGGGAGTGGAGCGGCTAGCATTTCAGGAGAGAAGGGGGACGCGGTCGAGACCTGCCCTTGCTCATTTTGCTGAGCTCTTAATCGGTCTAGAGCTCGCTGCAGTTCTTCAATCTGAGGCAATGGAGTCACTTGGGGATTACTTTCACCCATGCGAGTTCGACCCTCGCGATTACGGTTGAGGAAAGTCCGGAGGTTGGATTCCTCTTTGCCTCGGTCGGCGGCCCTGACCGCTCTCGACACACACTGGCTAGAGGCGTGCGATGGCGATGGATGATGCGGGGTATTTTCACGACCTTCGCGGTGGTATGAACCGCCCCGCAAAGCGTGGGAACCTCCCGCCCGATGGCGATCAAGATCGTTTTGTTGGCGGTGATAAGAATCGCCCTTTCCAGCACTTTTATGGGGGTGTACCTGCGACGTGGCATGGGACAGCTTGGGTTGCGTCCTCTCACCAAGTCTTAACGCCACTGGTATTCCGCTCGGGATGCGGTCAGAGTTCGCTGGCCCTTTGGAGCCCGTAGGTCCCTTTTTTGCCACTTGCTTACCCTTTCATCGACGCGTTACAGTGCTCGCGGCACGGGCTATCTCCCTTCGCTGTGCTTTCGAGCGACCTGCAAGCGTTTTTGGTGGTTGCACCATCCCAGCTGATTTGGTTGGCATGCCTTGGTCCAAACGGTCCAACCTTCGGTTGACCGTTTGGAGAGTATTGTCGAACCTCTCCAGGTAGCTTCTAATGGCAGGGTCAAGTTGTGAACTTGATGGGATATCCCCCGCGACATTTTGTGGAACTAAAGGTATTTTGGAAGAGGTGTCCCCCTAGACTTGGGGGATCCCCTCAACACCCTGGTTGGTTCGCTCAAGTTCAGGTTGATGGGCCATTTGCTGTTGTAGGACCGGTAAGTTAGAGATTCTCCTGATGAAGGATGAACACTAAATCAGGGCCCTCCTTCTAGTGCCAAACTGTTGATGCGAGATTTTTACACCAACTAAACGCATGTGTGCAATGCTGAGCTGGCCCAGAAGACACACGTGAATGCAAGAAAAATGAGAATAAAAGCAATGGGAACAGCTTTTAAAGTGGTTCGGATGCTAAGGAAGCAAATCCTACGTCCACTGATGTTTGTATTAATGATAGAGGTCAGGTCGCGTTAGCGGACTGACTTACAAATGACTTACGAATGATTTTTAGATGATAGTGCGAGAGAGAGACTGTTATATATTCTTGAGAGAGAATAGCTAATCCCCTCAATGAGAGAGGAGTTCTCAATTTATAGTGGGATGGATTAAGGTTATCATTACTGAATCTATGAGTCCGTGGGATTATCCGTGCAAATCCCTATTTATGTCACATTGCCCACCTTCTAGAGTGATTTACGAGATTCGGAGCAAGGATTGGACACGTGGGAGCACCATAACTTCTGGCTGGTCTGGCACGCACCCACTATTCTGACAGAAGCATGCTGCTCCTTTTCCCACGCGACTCGGCTGCGGGTGCACCCATACTCTAACTTTTTGCACGCTGATTAGACCTTACGTCAGCCCTAAATTCTTTAGGCATAACAAAAGTATATAATCTACTGAACTTTATTGAGATATGCATTAATTAATTATATCCATAATCTGTTTCCAAAAATTTAATATAATCTGTATGTTGTATGGAAATTTCAATGATTTGGGATGTTTTATATGTGCACAGGATGTTGAACAAGGGTGTTGATGAAGAAAGATGGTCTGAAAAATTTGTTTCTCAGTAGCTATTTTGTCTAAAGTTTCTGATTATTTGATAATTTGATTAACCTCATCACAAGGGAAAATCGGAGCAGACATAAAAATTTAATATGCTGACCCTGTGGTCAACTTTGAATTCCACCATATGGGTTATACTCTCAAATTCTATCTGTTTCTTTTCACATTATAGCTTTTGGAATGTTTTTAGATTATAAATTGAACTATGTTGATGAAAGATATTGGTCATTTGGCCCCTTATTATCCATATGTTCAATAAATATATGCTTGCTTTCACTTTTGCTCTCCGAAGTTATTCATATTTAAGGCTGATGCTGATCCAATGTGTTGTTGAGATATCAATGACCAGACAAGACAAGCAATAGCATGGCCGTCGCCACCTGAAAATAATTGCAATAGTTGAATAATTAAACAAACTTCCAATGCAATAAATGAAAAAAAAATAGGGATTGATAATAAATGGTTACAAACCATAGTTTTCCTCCCAGCTGCAACACCCCATCTCATTGAAGAGATTACTATCGGCAATGAGAAAAAACATCCAAAGTAATTCTGCACAAACCCAAATCCTATTTTCAAACATATATATATAACTTAATTCGGTTGTGTTCAAATAAATAAATACACATCAAAACAATTTTTTTTCCTCTTTTTAACAAACAATTGTAAGCAACCATTTGCGAAACATACCATATCCGATAAAAAATAAATATTCAATAAATTACCTGCTTCAAAACTGAAACAAAAAAGCTGAAACGAACCTCGATGGAGAGAGAATTGCTCAAGAAGTAAACAAGGCCAGTAACTGCAGTGAACATGGAGCACTCCACCAATCTCAGTGTACCTTGTTTTTCTTCTTCATTATTAAGAAACGAAGTTTTGGCCTGCGAAACTAGCCTGATGGTACTCACCATGCTTCCCAATTGACTATAGCCCTTTGGTCTTGGGTTCGAGTGGTGGGGAAGGCGAAAGAAATCCCTTAAGGGGGGGGGGGGGGGGGGGGGGGGGGGGGGGGGGGGGGAGGGGATATTCCTAGTGAGTCACGAAGAGTGGGTTGGTGCTGTATGACCTCTAGCCCAACCATGCCCACGGTTAGATTAGGTTGTGACAAAATGCTAGAGAGTTTGAAGCTGGGTTCGAAGAGAGAAAGAGAATGAAAAAAAGTTGTGGAAGAAGAAGGTGTAAATTGGAGTGGTAATTCACGTTGATGAGAAGAGGTAGTTTTGGGAAAATGAAGGAAGAATAAGAGTCGGTGATGAATTTTGAGGAGATTCATGGACGTAGTTTCTGTGCTTTGTTTTGCTGGGAAGAAGCTGCAAACGAGCTTGGCTTGAGCTCGAGCTCGACTTGGCTCGGCTCGAAACTGGACAAGTCAAGCCAAGTCGAGTTCGAGCCATGTAATTAAATTGCCGAGCCGAGTTCGAGCTCACAAGCTGGAGCTCGACGAGCTCCCACCTTGTCTCATCGAGCCGAGCTCGAGCTAGCCACTACTCGGCTTAGCTCAGCTCGTATGCACACCTAGTCATGACAAGGACCATGCTGAACAATGATTTTTCATCGAGGTTGGATAGTTTTATTTTGCATTGATTTTCCGTCGAGGTTGGATGGTTTTCATTTTGTGTGTCATATCGCATATAATGATATAGACTGTATAAGGGTTAAAGCAATGCTAGTTTTACAAAGACACATACAAAAGGGGCATACAAAGACAATCCCCACCTTTATTTTCATGATTTCTCTCTCTCTCTCTCTCTTTTCCTTTTTTCTTTGTTTTTTTCTTCTGGATGATATCACTTTGTAGCCCTCTTTGCATGGGTCTTTGTAAAGATAGCATTTTTCATAAGGATTATCACCCATAGACTTGTTATATGCATATTTCCATATATTTTGTTTGTTTGTTTGTTTGTAGGGCCTGAAACCCAATAATTGAGAATCTGGGATGGATCACGGAGGCAAAACTATACAACATACACCACATAGTTGAAATGCTTGGAGGAAACAAAAATGAAAATTCACAGCATCACAAAACCTACGCAAAACTAGTATTCACAACAACTAGAGGCAAAAGGGTAGGCAAGCCACAAAAGTATATTACAAATCCAACACCATGCTTCGCAACCGTGCTGATCTCACACTGCTCGAACCCAACACCATGCTTTGCAGGCTGCAGCCATGCTGATCTCGCACTGTTTGAACTGCGAAGTTCATCCAAATGCATAACCATTTAAGGTTCTTTCAGTTGCTTCTTCCATATCCCTTTCCGAGCCAAAAATAAGTGATCCATGTGTTGGAAAACTAGCTCATTTAGCAAATCACATGGGGGTAGAAGTGATAATAGAAAAAGGTTTAGGAACTTATATGTAATAGGCCAAAATGTTAGTTTGTCCCACATTGCTTGGGAATGAAAAGTGGGAAACTTTTGGGGCCTATATATAAGGACCCAAATCATTGTTATTAGGCATCCCAAGTTGTAATTCCATTATACTTCTTTTGTTTAGGGTTCTTTCTTTAAGGACCCTTCAGTTTGTAAGTTTTGTTGTATCTCCCCTTTGTTTTGGGTATGTTGTATTGCCCAAAAGTTTGTAATGTTTTGGAGATAGTGGAGTTTTCTTTTGCAGCGCCCGAGGACGTAGGTTTCAATACCGAATCTCGTTAATTCCTGGTATTCTTTATTTTTGCATTTAATTTTGGCTATTTATTTATGCTTTACTACTTGTTATTATTATATTCAATAGCTAGCATTAGAGTTTATGTTTCCGTTGCATAACAAGTGGTATCAGAGCCTAGGTTTAGGACAGTGAGTAGCTATTTGTATGGTTATATGCATGTCTAGGAAAATTCTGTCAAAAAGACGATAAGAGTCTAAGGAGACTGGATTTTAAGTGGGACCATTTGTGACCCCTCCATTGTTTCCTGGGAATTTTCCTGGTGCGTATTTAATGATTTCAGCACTTACTACTACCTAAGGCTATTGTTCATTTGTTGGTTAGCTATTGAATATAATAATTTGTGGAGCTTGGTTATTGTGAATTTTGTTTACCAAGCCAATTGAGTAAGGCATAAATGGCATCATTGTCCGAGGATTCATCGTCCGCGGCACCACCATCCGTACCAATAAAGATGATAACGGTTTCAAATGCAAAAATTAATGTTGAAAAATTTGATGGCCAAATTAATTTTGGCTTGTGGCAGAGTGAGGTAATGGATAGCTTGTATCAGCAGGATCTAGATATCGTTCTGGAGGAGGAAAAACCAGAAGATGTCTATGAGGAAGACTAGGTGAGGTTGAATGTAAAAACATGTGGGATGATTCGCTCATGTCTTTGTAAAGAGCAGAAATATCCATTCATGAAGGAGATGTCTGCAAATAAGTTATAGAAGGCGCTGGAAAACAAATATATGAAAAGAAGTAATGAGAATCAGCTCTATTTGATGAAAATACTGTTTCGTCTTCAGTTGAGACCAGGTACAAATATCAGTAGCCATATTGATACATTTAATAGATTAATTGCTGATTTGTTAAATTTGGATGAAACATTCAAAGATGAACATAAGGCTATGTTGTTAATTGGATCTCTTCCGGATGAGTTGGACTATCTTAGTATTACACTTCTTCATGGGAAAGAAAAATTTTCCTTTGAAGAAGTTTGTTCTGCTCTGTCCAATTATGAAATTCGGAAGAAGGATAAGAAGAAAAATATAGATGAGTCAGCAGAAGCTCTTGTAGCAAGAGGGCAGAGTCAAAATCAGAGTCGTAAGAAGGAGAGAAGAGGAAGATCTCGTTCAAAGGGAAAACTCAATAGGGATCAATGTGCCTTTTGTTGTGAGAATGGGCATTGGAAGAAAGATTATCCGAAGTTGCAAAAGAAAGAGGGCAAAGATACTTCTGATGCATGCGTTGTTGAGCGTGAAGAGGATGAGTCAGATTTCTGTCTAGTTAGCCTACCATCCACCTCTGGATCAAATGAGTGGATTATGGATTCAGGTAGTACCTATCATATGTGTCCTCACCAGCACTGGTTCTTTAATTTTGAATAACGTGATGAAGTTGTTTATATGGGCAATGATGATGCTTGTAAAACAACTGGGATAGGTTCAATTCGGTTGAAGAATCATGATGGCTTGACTAGAACTCTAACAGATGTTCGGTATGTACCGAAGTTGAAAAAGAATCTCATCTCTTTGGGAGCCTTGGAATCTAAAGGCTTCACGGTGAATATGCGAGATAGAATTCTAAAAGTTTCTTTAGGCGCTCTTGTGGTAATGAAAGGCACAAGGAGAAACAACTTGTATTACTATAATGGTAGTACAATTATTGGAACGACAGCTGCAGTCATACATGAGGATGCAGATTTAGAATATGTGTGTGAAGCATATTCGGCAACAGGTGGAGTTTGAAACAACAGTTGAATCAGATAGTATCCATGAGACAGAAAGTGATTCTGAGGTGACTAATGTGGATATTATAGATGAAAATGAGATTTTACCCCAAGAATCTCATCAGCAACAGGAATTGATTGCATACAATAGGCCAAGACGAGAAATTCACAAGCCTGCTCGTTTCGCTAAGATGGTGGATGCACTTCCAATCGTAGGTGATGATATTCCTACTACTTATAAAGAAGTAGTTAGGAGTTCAAATTGTGAATCATGGAAACCGGCCATGAATGATGAAATGCGATCCCTACATAAGAAGGCGATTGGGTGCAAATGGGTGTATGCAAAGAAGAAGGGATTTCCTAATAGAGAAGATGTTCGGCACAAGGTTAGGTTGGTAGTAAAGGGATACGCTCAAATGGAAGGAGTTGATTACAGTGAAGTGTTTTCTCCTGTGGTAAAGTATTCTTCCATTCTAATTTTGCTAACCTTGGTGGCACAGTTTGATTTTGAACTAGTTCAATTGGATGTGAAAATCGTGTTTTCACATGGTAGTTTGGAAGAGGAAATCTACAAGACTCAGCCAGATGATTATAGGGTTGCTAGAAAGAAAAATTGGGTTTGCAGATTGAAGAAATCGCTATATAGTTTGAAGTAGTCACCAAGACAGTGGTACAAGCGATTTGATCAATGTATGATGGGCCATGGGTACACAAGGCCTGATATTTCACAAGCAGTTAGTATGGTGAGCAGGCATATGCATGATCCTGGTAAAGGACATTTGCAAGTTGTGAAATGGTTTCTACAGTATATTTTATGTACTATAGATATTGGTTTTAGTTTTTGTGTGGGATTATATGGGAATGGGAAAATGACTCTCCAGAAGATTGGAACAGAAGATAATCCTACAGACATGTTTGACTTCAGTAGTGACAAGGGTCAAGTTCATTTATTGTTTGAACTTGATCAACATCCCGAGCTTGACTATGCCTTTTGGCGTATTTGAAGCTGTTGCAAAATTTGAACAGAAGAATACAAAACTTTGAAGGTTTGCTAATTCGCCAGGTGGAGATTTGTTGGAAAAATGGCTCATTTAGCAAATCACATGGGGGTAGAAGTGATAATGGAAAAAGGTTTAGGGACTTATATGTAATAGACCAAAATGTTAGTTTGTCCCACCTTGATTGGGAATGAAAAGTGGGAAACTTTTAGGGCCTATATATAAGGACCCTCATGTTATATCATCCCAAGTTATAATTTCATTATACTTCTTTTGTTTAGGTTTCTTTCGTTAAGGACCCTTTAGTTTACAGTTTTGTTTGATCACCCATTTGTTTTGGGATTTTGTTGTATTGCCCAAAAGTTTGTAATATTGTTTGGAGATAGTGGAGTTTTCTTTTGCAGCGCCCGGGACGTAGGTTTCAATACCGAACCTCGTTAATTCCTGGTATTCTTTATTTTTGCATTTAATTTTGGTTATTTATTTATGTTTTACTACTTGTTATTATTATATTCAACACTGCGTTAGAGTTTAGGTTTCTGCTGCATAACACCATGACTGTATAGTCCATTCTATGACCAGCTCTTCCAAGTGTCTCCCTGACAATGTTGAAGCAACTGCTAGAGATCCTTGCACTTTCTTGTTGGTCATTCATACTTCTGTTGAAATTTGTAGGAGGATGTCTAAAACTATCAAACCTATGCGGTTCCTGAACAAAATAGTCCACACCATTACCAGCTCTAGCCATGTCTCCCTTGGCTTATTAACCTGTGAGTCTTCTATTAGCATTTCTCTGTTCCTTGCCCTTCTAGATTTTTCTTCGGAGGTTGAGAGAATATAAATTTAAAGGTACTGCATTCACCCAACGAAATGATTCATCACATCTCCAACCACTCCTCTCTTATTGTTGTAACCGGGGTAATCTTCTTTCTAAAAACTGACACACTTGATTATGACAGGGAGTTTCCATAAGCAAGTTCCTCAAGATTCCAACTGCAAAATGGACCTGTTGTTTTGTGGCTGTTGGACCGGTCGTCACAGTCACAAAATTAACCTAAATACCATAGTAGCGGTAAGCAGGGTCAAATCCACAAAGAGCAAGACTACGACCTAATGTATATTTAGTTAACGAAAGAGAAATTGGCAGAATGATTGATTAAAACTAAGGAAACTAATTACTTGCAGGAAATTAAAACATTAAATAAATTGCTAACTAAAACTCAATATTAAAAGCGTTGTCGCTACGGGTTCGGTTTGACTCAAGACCAACTCTCACAATTCCTCTCCTCGCTCTTCAATTTCCTAATCCTACAAGGCTAGGCAAATCAATAGAAATATCTCCCGGCAATCTAGGCATAATCTATCCTGTCTCCCCGTCGTCTTAGTTACAGATCGATTGGTTAAAGACTATCATTGACTAACCGAAAAATGCTAAACCCTTAAACACCACTAGTTGGTACAACATTAACAAGTACAACCTATCAACCTGTATCATCCAATCAACTAATTACACAATAAATGCATTCCTAGTAGAAATGATATTAAACGCTACTACAACTTGATTGCAATTAGTACCGAAGCAATTTAAAGTCATAATCAACATTCAATAATCTCAAACCGACATTCAATTATGCGAAAAGTTATATATCAATAAACGTTCTCAAAGGACATTATCAATTCAACACGTCGAGCATCAGAATAATATTAAAGCATCGCAAACAAACTGAAACAAAAACAAATATAATATGAATACAAGAAACTTAACCAAATATCCAACATTCGGACTCATCCAACTAGTTAAGAGCTGATGAGGAGATCAATGGAGTCAATCTCGATCTCGCCTACACCGTAATAGACAATCGGGAACTCAGCCGCTCATGGTGGTGATGACGGAGGCTGAAACAGTGGAAACGGAGCTGATCATGGTGGATAGGAGGTAACCAATAGCGATATGATGTGAAGAAGAGGCGAAAACGACCTACGGACAGCCCGGAATATGAACAGCCGCACTCGCCGGAAAATGTTAATTTTTCGGCGGGTCTTCCAGAAAACGGTGGCGGAAATGGGATCCGAAGGTACCGATGGAAAGCTCTGGTGATGGGGAGTTCAGATCAGGTCCTGGGGAGGTAAGAAGTCACCGGAAATGAGCAAGATCTGGGCTAGAAGATGAAGAGGCGCGGCGGCAAAGTCGCAGATTCCGGCGGTTTTCGCGGCGGCTGAAGCTTGGAAATGCTAGATCCGACCGTGGGGAAGGGAGATCGACTCTTGGGGAGCTGAAACGTCATCGAAAAATGGCAAAATCTCGCCTGGAAGACGAAACGTCGCGGTGGTGGAAGACGAATCGTCGCGGCTGCGTGATGTTTCACGGTGGCGGTTTGAGGTGGCTGATGAAGATCGGTGCATGGGGAGATGAATCGTTGCCGGAGGGAGACGAAGGGTCGTCGGAGCTCGCCGGAAAACTGGGTGAACAGCCTCCCCTGTACGCGACTTTTCATCTTCTTTTTATAGAACAAAATATAAAATATCATTTTGGTCCCTGCATGTTTGAAAGTGACAAAATCAACCCCAAGATTATGACAATTTGACCCCTGAATGGCATAAATGAGACAACATCAACCCTAGAAAATAAATCACATCCTAATATCAACTTACACAATCTCAAATTTCAATCCAAACATGCCAAATTAGTAAGAAAAACTCAAAATATGATTTTTAAACATAAATTCATAATTTCTCTTAATTGTCTCAATATAACTTCAATTCAATTACACATAGGGTCTTTTTGTCACCAAAGTAGAGTCACTTTCATGACTCTAACAGTGGCTTACATGAACTTCACCACTATCCCTCAACATGCCGCTTGCATTTCTGAAAAAACCCTGCACAAGACTCCTATGCATCCTGTCAAAACAGATTATGATGAACATTTGCAATCAGCTATTCAGAAGAGGGAACACAAAATCCCTAGAGTTGGAATAAGGCAGCTCACTTAATCATATGCAAATTATGTTCCTTTCATGATAGCCAGCATGAGGAAAGTTGAAGATGATTTGATCAAACTTCCTCATTCGCAAATGAGGATGAAGCTTCATTTTGGTTGCATCCACACCATGTAAAATGTATGCTCCCAGCATCTCTAGAGTTCGCAAATTTGATTTTGCTTTCTTGTATTCGTTGACCACAATTACTAATCGATCGAAAATTAATTACATAATTTCCCCAAAGAGGCAGTTAAATTAAAAAAAAACTAACATAAAGATAGTTTTTTTTTCTTTTTTATGCGAAAGGAGCAAATTTTTTAACTAATTGGACTGCGAAAAACAGATGAATATGAAACGATATCACCAAGTTCATAAGCATCCATGTGTGTGTGTGTGTGTGTGGAGACAGTGTAATGTATTGTGTTGGTATACCGTATGAATCAAGAGAAGAGGTGCAGATGTTGAAAGCAGAGCCAAACGAAAGGGCCAAAGACAAAGACAAGGAAAAATCTCCTTCACCCACTAGAAGAATTTGATGGGTTGATGAGTAATGTGTAGGGGTGTTATCGAGCCGAGCCGAGCCAAGTTTCGGCTTAACGAGCTCGGCTCTTGAGAGAGAAGAGTAAACGAGCCGGTCCGAGCCGAGTCGAGCCAGAAATTATGTGGCTCGGCTCGGCTCGGCTCGATAGGGGTTTAGTATATTTGAGCTGGCTCGCGAGCCAGCTTATCTCCAAATAATTTTTTTTTTCAATTTTTTTCACAAATTGCTGAGCGCCTGGGCAGTAGTCTGACTGTAATGTTTTTTTTATTCAATCCCATATGGATTTTATTTCCCAGAATAGATCATCTTTTTTTCTAAAATGTGTGTTTAATTAATTTATATATATGTGAAACTATTAACTGCAATTTTTAATCATATTGTTACATGAATTAATGATAATAGCTACTGTATTCATGTCACACAAATTAATTCTAAATTGCTTCATGCAGTAAGCTAAGAATAAATATTTGAGTCAAAGTTTACTCATGAATTCAAAAAGAGTGGAGGATAGATAATTCCTTTGAAAAATATTGAAAAACTGCAGTAAGCTAAGAATAAATATTTGAGTCAAAGTTTGCTCATGAAATCAAAAGAGTGGATGGATAGATAATTCCTTTGAAAAATATTGAAAAAGTAATTTTCCATAATACATACCTAACAGTTAAACCTACTTAAAATCAACATTAAATGAAATGCTACTGCTATACAAATTATCATTTAACATATGTATGTACCACAAATTAGTTAAGTGAACTAAATATTTTTTGTTTAGTTCACTTGACTAATAAAATTTTCACAAAAACAAAATGGGGGATTAGCATAACTATACATCAAGTGACATCCATCCATCAAAAAATAATATAATAGCAAAAGATAATTGGTTGTATGTCTATTGTAGCCCACTCCTCCTACAAACAAATTAATGTGAAACATATAAGTTATTGTCATTTATATAAACCGTAAAGATGAAAATGCAAACCTCAACACAAAAGTAATAAATTAGACCTGCAGAATCCTACTGTCAGCCAATAACTCACAAGTGAATCAACCAATCAGCTGACTCCCATCACCTGATAGAATAGGAAGCTGAATCTCAAGTGATCCATCCTCCTCTTTCTAAGATGAAAAAGAGATAAAATAATCTATAGGTTAGAATAAAGTTATTTAAATATAGAATTAACAAAACATGTAAGCAAGGAACTTACTTTGCACCCTTCTTCACTTCATTCAAAGTGCGACACCTATCACATCCATATAACAACATCTCCACCATAGTTGGTGACAAAGAAGCTCAGTAACTATCAATAACCCTGCTCCCAGCACTGAATGCAGACTCTGAAGCAACCGTAGTGATGGGATGGCTAGTATCTCTCGAGCCATCGTAGACAATACAGGAAACTTGGTTGAATTTGCCTTCCACCACTGTAAGGCATCGAATGAGTCATGATCCCCCACACACTTATGGCATCCCTCTCCCAAATAACAGTCAACTAGACTAGGCTCAACAGTTTCAACCACGTCCAGAAAAGTGCTAAAATTATCCCATGCCTCGGTCCTCAACCGCAGCCACTCCACCAATGGCTCCATGTCCATCCCCTTGTGATGTAGAAGCACGGGCGATAGTCACACCTTGGTTAGCTTGAACATACTCCCCATATAACTCATAAATGCATCCCGGACCGTTACCATATTTGCCCGTCCTTCTGTCTGAATACATCTTAGGGAATGCCACTGAATAACCCTCATTTTCAATGAGGATGCAATATAGAGCACATACATCAATACTACATTCCCCAATATTTATCAAACTTGTTCATTTTCCTAACCATCTCTAATAAATTCATCTTTAGATTCACTTTTACTATCAACATACATTTCACTGCACACACTCCTTCAAGAATAAATTAGACGTCGGATAATCACTTCTTGAAATGAGTTTGGTTGAACCACTGAATACTTTCAAAACTTCACAAACTTTCTCCACTTTCTCCAATCCTCGTCATCGGATTATTATGATAATTGATATCCTCTCTTTCACTCTTGGAAAAACCTTTTGGTTAGTTGCCGTTGCCAACATTTCATAGGTAGAATTCCACCTTGTTTTACAATGAAGAATAAGTTTCGATACGACAATTTAAGTTGTTGAACAATCTCAGAAAATACCTTGAGTCTGCTTTCGGAACTGTGATATACAACACACTCTCATAGATGTCGTCAATGATGTGCCTAATTTGTGAAGTCCATCTTGAACAATCAGGTTCAGAGTTGTGCGCAATATCTCACATGAAACAGTTTACCTCCACAAAGGAGTTTCCCGAAACTTCAAAATTTTCCTTAAAACCTTAATCGCAACATCATTACTTAAAGCATTATCCATAGAATATGTTATACCTTTTTTCAATTCCCATCCATTAGGCACTTGAAAATGCCATCCGCAATCGCAATACCAGTCCAGGAGGAGGTAGACGAACAAAGTTGAGGATACGTCTATTCAGCCTCCAACTACTATCTATCCAATGCCCGGTCAACACCATGTACTCCATCTTTTGATTCTCTGAATCCATAAGTCTGTAGTCAAACTGATTTTGTCACAATCTTCAACAAAGTCTTCAATGGCCTTCTCACTTTCATATACCTCATACATCTTTTTTACAAGTGTGGCGGGAAACGGAGTCCATCCAGGAATCCCATACTTCATTATATTATTCAAGCCCTCTTCCTCCACAACTGTAAATGGATGCTCATGCATAAGCACCCAATGGCGATCAATTCCTCATTTTCGACATGTCAAACTTCCCACTTAAAACTGGCAAAATAGTAGTTGGACATCATTACGGCATCAGAAACAATAATATGTTTGTGCCTCATGGAAGCTTTTCTCCTAAACCGGCTTAAATGTCTATTGAACTGGGTGGTGCTTCCGGTGGCATTAATACACAACTTGACTTTGCAATGGATACATCTCGCCTTTTGGTGCCATTAGGGAGTACCACTCCTTGAACTCCGACATGCCACTAAAGTCTTCGCTCTTTTTTGCTTCTGAATCGGTTTTTGATTTTCATCCCCATTATCCGGGCTAACTAATATTGTTCGTATCAGTAGTGGTTGCATTCAAGTTAGGTTACCGCCAGGTGTATCGGTAATTGTATCTTGTATTGCAGGGGTACTTAAGAAATTACCCTCATTTACAAACCTATAAATGAAAAAAAAAAAAATCAACAATTAATGCAAAACCAATATGAATAATGTCAAACTACTCATTGCACACACATCAACCAATACATATACATTGCACACCAATATTAATTGTCACCAATACATCCCAACATTCATTCATTCTTTAATTAGAGACATTGGTTTTGTATCATGTTTGATTAAGTTTCACATGTTATAATATTTGAATTTAACATGTTTTATTATTCATTAAAGTTGCATATATAAACTTAATTTATGTAAATAAATTGGAAGGGTACATAAATTGAAATTGAACTTAATTTATTTAATTTATGTAAATAAATTGGAAGGGTACATAAATCTATGTGCTGCCATGATGCCATATAAGAAACTCACCCCGTATTCCATGTGAGTCATAGGCCAGATTGGGAAATCATCTGTTCTATGCAAAGTAAGTTTTGAAGAATAATCTGTTTCACACATATCATGAGTTTCTCCATTATCATCATATCATATGCTATAACATGTATTTATTTCTATTCTAGTTAAGAGAACCAGATTCCACAAGAGCTTGAATGACCCCTCTGGGGGCCCAGCAAAAGTTCCTCTGAGTGAATCTTGAGTCTAAAACCTTCTTCAGTATTGTTTTGAATTCATATTCCATTGATCTTTTTTCTGTCTACTTACATTTAAGGGTAAAAAATATAGATAATTTTACAGTAACTGCTTAGAATACACACAAAACCAAGGTAGATCCCCATTTCATCTATACTAGACTGAAGTGGACCCAAATGGACCCCACATTAGTGCAAATTGCATTTCTTATTTTTGCTCACTAAGCATGCTTTTACTAAGCTTCTCATTAACTTAACAGGGTGGGCTTTATGTGTGCCGATAATAGATGATGTTTGAATATGCAGGGAGATTATGTTGTTGGCATTCTTGGGATTTGTAGTTCAACACAATGTGACAGGAAAAGGACATTTGACACCATTGTTCAAACATAAAGGGTTACTAAATCAACTGTCTTCCTTTGGCAATCAATTTGAGTCAGATTTGAGCATCAATGTAACATGGGACCTTTATGTACAGGAGAACTTAGATGGCATTTATATTACGTACATTACTTGCCCCAATAAATTTTACTTTCTATAGCAAGAATGAATAACAACAAACACAAATCTCATCTACCATATTTAAGGTACTGGCTCTGCTTTCTTACCCCACACCAACACATTCCCACAAGTCAACCACAAATTTTTAAATCCCCAGTCCCCCACCACAGATGCAGGACCCAATTCCCACAAGCCACAACAAGCACAAACACATTTAAAAACTACCTGTCGGCCAGCCCCCACCAGCAAATGCAAAACGCCATAACCACATTCCCACAACCACTAATTAAATAAAAACCAGTCACACATTAACAAAATGCAATTGAATTTTTTTCCCAACCCAACCACAATCACAATCACAATTCACAAACAATTTAAATAAACAGTCAAACAGACCCATACGGCACTACTCTTCACATATACATAAGCATTAACTTGTATCACTACAAGAAATATATTATATTGTGAAAATTAATTTATCAAAAGCTATTTCGTCACAATTAATAATGTATTATGAAAATAAAAAAAACATCACATTAGTATGACAAAAGGAATATACAGTGACCAAAAAAATATTGTTATTATTTTATCACAATAAAGAAATCCATAAGAAATATATGAAGAAAAACAATTTTATCTTAATATTTCGTCACAAATTTTTGGCACCAAATTTGGACCTAGGTGGAGTTTTATCGTGACAAACATATTTTGTCATAAAACATTTTAGTCATATTTAGTTACACATGCTATAACTACAAATTATTTGTCACAAAGAATTTATTTATTGCTACAAAAATAAAGTGTCATAATATATGCTAAAATAGAGATATTAATGACAAAATGTTTGAGTCAAAATTTAAGCACCAAGGTAAATTGTTATTGTGACAAACATATTTGTCATAAAAAACTTTGTCACTATATTTAATAATACATGCTATAATTACAAACTAATTGTCACAAAAGAATTATTTATCATTACCAAAAAAAAAAAAAAAAAATTATTTATAAATGTTATATTGAGGTATTAGTGACAAAATATTTGAGTTAAATTAAATGTGATATTTTGTGACAAAATTTGTTAAAAAAAATATAATATGGTCTCCTTTATTTATTTTAAAAACTAAAAGGCCAAAAAATTGTAAAAATACAAAATCATTAATAATTTTATAAATGTAAATATTATGTACCATTTTCGGCTTTAATGATAAAAATATTTACATTTTCGGCTTTAATGTTATAGCTAATATTTGAATCCTGTTAAATATTAAGGTATGTATTACAAGTTTACATCAAAGATTAAATAACAAAATAAACGATTCAATCATGATTACAAAAAGGGAAAAAGGGAAAAAAATGAATTGGGCAAAAAGGGAAAAGGGAATGTCTTTATGAACTCTCTTTTGATTCTCCTAATTTCCTTCGTGTTTACAATGAAAAAGGGAAATTGAATTGGGTGAAGTGAGCCGCCTTTGGTCTCTTCTTTTCTTTGTAAAATTGAATTGGGAAAACCAAATCCTGAAAGAAGAAAATAAAACGCAAGAAGGAGAAGAAGCGGGAGAAGGGACAAACACTCTCTAAACGCATTGTTTCCCTCACATTCAGTTGTGAGTTTGTATTATAGATAGACATGTAGAACGAAATGAATATATATAATTAGTAAAGAAGAGAAATAGATGAGTAGGTTTGCTTGAGTGGTTAAAGGAGAGAATTGAGAGAAGAATGCACTGGTTCAAATCTCGCAGTATTGTTCTTTAAAAAAAAAAAGGGTTTTTTTTTGCTCTTTTTTTTTTTTTTAATTTATTTCATTAATGTTTAGCAACTCCAAAATGATCTTTGCACACAATTTACTCTTAATTTGGAAAAAGAAAAGAAAAAAAGAACACATTTTAGCATAAATCATCCTATCCAAAAAAAATACAATAAATTATATGGTTATGCTTTTAGACATTACAAGTTATCCTAATCCTAATCTTAAAAGGATCTA